AGGGCCCTGCCAAAGGCCCCTGTCTTTTTCTCTCAAAAAAAAAAAAAAAATAAATAAATAAAAAAAAATAAAAATTAAAAAAAGAAAAAGAAACAGAAGGAGTGGAAGAATGAAACACTGTTGGGCACTGGAAGAAGTGTATTTGTATGTGCACACGCACATGGGAGCCTGGGACAGATGTGGGCAGGGGGTCATGGTGTGACGATGGGCAGGATTGTGTCACAGCTGTAAGCAGGTGGCTTTGGGTGGCTCACCAAATGCGCGGCCTGGCAGGGACCATGCCTGCTTCACAAGTGGGATTTTTGGTAATTTGCACGAAGGCACTGTGGGGTCCGGAGGAGTGGGGTGCAGTCAGGAGAGGAGTCATCTGAAAACGAAGCGGGTCAACAGGCGTGATATTAAGAGAGACCCGAGTCATCTAGGGTAGATGCCAGCAGTCTCCGTGTGCTCGCGAGTGTTGCCCACACAAAATAAAAAAGAAGACATGACTCTGTCAAAAGTAAAAGACACTCTGCTATGACTTGTGACGATGACTGAGTTCCCTGGAGTAACAAGATTAAGATGAAGTTTTGCAGTGACTGTAGCGGAAGGCCTGGCAGCTCTGCTGAGTGTAGGGATCAGGGCCCGTATCATCCTCTCTTGGTCCCCCGGAAGCGGGACCTTTGCTGAGGGTGGAACGAATGTGACTCTACATCGCTGGGCAGAGGGACTCCCCACTGCGACCTTCGTAGTAACTGGGGTGCGGGCCGTGTGCACTGGTGCCAGGGAGGGCCTGAGTGGTCCACCGCCCAGCCAGAGCAAGAAAGAATGCTCCCCGCAGATCAAAGCCCCGAGTCTCTTAAAATGGAAATGAACATTTAAAAAAAGGCCTTTCTCCAGGGAGAAACATGCGGTAAATCAGAGCTCTTGGAAGACAGCTGGGGCCTGTGCCGGTTTTTGAGTAACTTGCTGTTTAATAAATGTTCTATTTTTGACCCTTTAGGGAAATACACAGCTCCATCTAAAACTTAAGAGCCAAAATAATTTCACCTTTTTCCCCCAAGTCTTTTATTTTTATAAGTTTTGTGATAGAGACAAACTATGTGGAAGCTTTCTTTCTTCTTCTTCTTTTTTTTTTGGGGGGGGGAGATTTTTGCTATAGTGTGTGTGTGCTTGGCGGGTCCTGGATGTGAACTGCGGTTGACTAGGTGGGAGTCCAGCGATATAACCATTATGCCATCTGCTGGTCCCTGGAAGCTTTCTTTTAAATGTCTCACTAGGAGGCAGAGAGATGGTCTTCTCTGTACGCCTGTTCCGACCTGGCGGTTTGGAGGCTACTTAGACCCCACCACCGAGGTCTCAGGATCCAGGAGGCGGCGGTATGTGGAGTTTTGAGGAATTGCTCTTGGATTTTCCTCTGTAAGGGCTTGATGGTAATAATGTAAAGCATGACCTGCTCATTGCTCATTTTCTTCTTTTTCCGTAGGGCGGGGGCACTCACCAGAGAGACAGAGAGAAACAGAGAGAGGGAAAGTGAGAAACCATCCCTCAAGGGGCATGGCCGTGCCACAGTCCCTTCTTCATTCTCCTCCTGGGATTCTAGGCATGCACGCACACACACCCAGTGTGATTCTCAAGCCTCCAAGTCTGGGACTCAAACTGCAGTTTGCCATGGGAAAATCCAGTGCCTTCACCACCATGCCACATGCTGGCCTGGCATGTCCTCTTCCAAGACACGCAGGTGTGTATGTGTGTGGGCATACAGAGGGCATCTGAAAACACACTGCATGCGTGCAGCCTCTGCGCTGGTCAGAGGGAACTGCTCCGTGTACATTTGGACTCAGTGGCTGGGTGTGTTCCATCATTGTTCTAAATCCTGGGGGCCAGGGCCCGGTCTGTCCGCAATACAGTCCTTTTCCTTAAATTTAGTTTTCTTTATTCATGATGGAGTGTATGCCGGTGCATGTGTGTGTGTGCATGCGTGAGGGGGAGAAAGAAAGAGAGAGAGAGAGAGAGAGAGAGAGACAGGTGGGGCGAGCACCCTTCACAGGGTCTGATCAAGCCACGATCCCCTTCCTCCAGACCATAACACACATACCCTGTGTATTTCTTTTTTTTTTTGGAGAGGTTTTTGCTATAGGGCATGTGTGCTCACCAGAAAGACAGAGAGAGACAGAGAGACAGAAAGCGAGAAATCACCCCCCAGGGGGGATGGCCACGCCGCAATCCCTTCTCCATTCTCCTCTCGGGATCTTGGGCACGCACGCACACGCGTGCCTGGCGTGACTTTAAGCCACCGGGTCTTGGACTCGAACCACGGTCAACTACATGGGAGTCCAGCGTTATAACCATTACGCTAACTGCTGGTCCCATACCCTGTGTATTTCAGGATGACTAGGTCAGGGACTCGAATCAAGGTCGCCAAAGCCGGATGGCTTCTCTGGAGCTGGAAATTACTGCTCTGCCACTGAGTCAGCCCCTGTCCTTAATATATTCTTGTCGTCTTGTTTTTCTCTTTTGTGAAATTTAACCTGTCTTCGTCTTCAGACTGGGGTATAGTGAACCTGGGAAAACAGGATTCTTCTAACCAGAGCCTGGAATTGGTTGAAAAATGACACAGGCCAAAAGGGCTGGATGGCAGCACAGTGGTAATGCAACGCCCTGAGAGGCTAACTCACATGGGAAGGTTCTGGGTTTGCGTCCCGAGACCGCCCTGAGTATGCTGGGCCGGAGTATGTCCATGACCTAGGGCTGGTTGAGGCTGGGGGTGGATCTTGGCATGAAGACCCTGTGAGGGGTATTGTCTCTGTGTCTCTCTGTGTCTCTCCCTCTGGCTCATAGGAGAAAGACAGAAAGAAACTTAAAAACTGTACAAGCCCATTCTACCTTTCACAGGAGATGCCAGTACGGACGCACACTATTCCATCATGGCCGCTGTCTTCTGCGGGGTCTTGACAGCACCACCTCTGCAGTGCCCAGCTGGGATTCCACTCACCTCACTCAGATTCAAGGCCTGCGAGGATTCGGGATCTGGGGCATGACTCAAAGACCACGTGGAGTTCGGTTTTGCATGTTTTCTTTGAGTGCGGGCCAGCAAAGACCGCGGCCTCACATAATTTTTCTGCCGGGTGTGGAACAGTGCCATCGGAAGATGATTCATGAGAAGAAACTGTCGAGTTTCTGCCTGGGACTGAATGGAAAAAACTTGGTTGAAAAAAATCCCAGACGTGTACCCAGAAGACACATAGAACCGAATTTATATCTTTAGCTTTGGGAATCTACATTCATTATTTTCTCTCACTTAACTTAGAAAACGGCAAAAATCTGGCCACGAAGCTCTTGTCGGATTATAAATAAGGTTTTTGGTTATGTGTTAGAGTCTGGGCCATAATGGTAGCTCCTGTATATTTAAGTTGCTTATTAACCCTGGCTCTAGGCGTTATTATTTAGTTTTGATATAAGAT